TGCGTGCAGAGCGAACGCTGTCGGCCTCATCGTCATCGGGGCCTGGCCTAATCACGGGAGCCTTCTCCGTTTCAAAAATCAAAACCAACTTTCTGTTTTGTTGGCGCTTGTTCAGTCTGAACGGAGGAAAAGCTGCTGGGCGGGTAATTTGGCCTTGTTTAGATTGTCTCAAAGTTCTAAGTTTTTTCACTCTCTCTATCACATTAATTTTGGACATATGTATGGAAAGATTAAATGTAGATAAAAAAGAACTAATCGCACAATTTGGTTTGTAAATCACGGAGGCGAATCTTTTGAGTCTAGTTAGTCCACGATAGACAAAGCCACAAATGAACAAAAAAATGTCTTTATAAGATCCAGATTGCAATTTGCAATCTAAACAAGGCCTTGGTGTGGTCTGCTGAGCGACCACAGCCTGCAGAGCGCGATGTGAGTGATGTACTCGAGCTCAGACATGCCGCTTCAGGTGGTGCCGTGGTGGCACTGGCAGCGAAAAGGTTAGACCGACTATACGATGTTACCTGCGTAGGAATGGTCCAGTCCAGTGAATATAGCCTGAACCTAATCCACAGAAGAATTTTCACACGGAACCTTTCGAAACAAAGGTACGACTCCGAAATTCTCATACGATAGTTTTTTCACACAAAGTGCCTTCTCTTTTCAAGGGGTTGCTACTGGCAACATTCAGAATGGAGTACTCCGTACGTATTTATTTACCGTAGAACCGTTGGAAACGGAAGACACAGTGTTTATTCAGTAAAAGTAGTGGAGTAGTACTACCAGTGCTACTTTTTATAGGCAATGATTGTTTGTTTTAACAGTCTCCGTACATAATTTAGTGGCCATGAGACAGTCATACGGCACGGCACAAGCAAAAGCCGGTACCCGCTGGCAGCTGCAAGCCACAGGCACAGCGTGGAAGTTTCGTGAGGAGGCGCGCGGTTTGGCCGTTGGCGCCGCGCCTGGCCGGCAGCGGCGGGCTGCCGCCTGCACCTGCGCTGCAGTAGTACTGCACCCCACGGACCGCGCACCACCACGCCCACCGAACGTGCGTGCCGGCGCGGCGCCCGCCATCTGCTGCTGGTGACGGACGGATGGTACAGGTGGGCGGCCGCGGGAGCGGTGCTGAGGGGAGGACGAGGACACGCCTTTCTTTTTCCTCTCTCTCTCTATCTCGCGCGACTCGCATGGTGGGTGAGTGGGTCGTCGCTGCCGTGTCTGGCACCAGGTCGCCGCCGGGTCGCTCGCTAACAACTCCTCCTCCGCCCCGTCCTCTAGAACGCGTGGTACGCGGTTCGTGCCTGCGCAGGCCGGCGGTTTCTGCTTGGCGGGCGGGCGGGCGACGTCTGAATTCGTTGCGGACGCCGCAGCCACTGACTGACTCGGTCGTGCCGAGCCGAGCCGAGGATCATCAGCGGAAAGTCGGGGGCGTGTCACGTTTGAGGTCCGTGCATGCATCGCCCCCTTCTTTCTCGCAGGCCGCTTTCAACTGTGCCTGCAGATGGGTTAACCCTCTGGAGACACGGATCCACCGTACGTGTCGGCCCGGCACCGTACCGTGCCGCCGAGAACGAACGTTCGGTCACTGAGGCAGGCAGCACGCAGCAGTAGTTTACTCCTATACTGTACTGTGTCTTCGTGTGCTTGCTTTGACTGGCCCTGACGCTAATCCGCGTAGTAGGTGCCGATTGTGTGAACCCGGCAAGTCCAGCGTGCAGTGTCTCCTCTCCTCTCCCCCGGACGACGGGCCTGCACGGCTGCCAATTGGAGGCCGCGACAGAGGCGAGACGGAGGTGTGGGGACGCACGATCGCTGGGAGGCAGCAAAGGAACGTGCTGGGCCCCGCATCACGTTTGAGGTTCCAGGTGTTACAGCGGCGCTGTATCACGAGTTCAGAACACGGCGCACTGAAATACGCTGGGCTCTCCGCTCCCCTTCAAATGGTCCCTGACGCCACACGCTTTCACAAAACGGCAACGCGCCTGCCGCCTATGGCTGTATGCGAGACCGATGTTTATTCAATCACAGCTCACCCGCACACAAACTACAGACAGACGCAGCGACGCACTGGCGAAGTTTCGAAGCGATCAAGTTGACACCCACGCGACTGATGAGTGAGTGTGCACAGCAACAGCACCAGCACCAGCACAACTATACATACCGGGCTCTAGGCCCATATAAATACCAGGCTCTAGGCCCATCTGCCAATCTAACAAAATTCACGTTGCTAAAAAAAAAAATTCTAACAAAATTCACCCTAAGAGCAAGGCCAGTAATACAGCTGGCTGCTAGCTATAAGGTTTTTTGCAGCCTTCTCTCAGCCCACCATATAGTAGATAACTCTTCACTATTATTACATGGCTCATTTGTCTCTCACAAAGTTTGTTTCTTGTGCCTAAGCTGATATTAAGCTCACAACCTAATTCTCCTCTCCTCTCATCTTTTCTCCACCTCAACATTTAGCCAGCTTACACAACCTATTATTATACTTGCTCTAAATGAGAGCTGAGTACCACGTGAGAGGACTCAAAGGTACCTTCAATACAGTTCAAATTGGCTCCAGAGAAGGGCATTAGAAGCTAATCCATAAAAAACACAAACCTACCATTATCAAGGGGGCTTTTGTGGTTCGCTTTGGTACCAATGGCCAAACCGCCAAAAGCAAAGAGAGTAATCTTATAGAAATATACTGATAACAAAACAATGCGATCATTGCAAAGACAATACAGACAGTAGGGTCCCTTCGAGATAATAAGACAGCAGAGGTCCTTTGATATAACTATACATTGCAGACAGTAGATGTCCTTTGAGATAACTACTAATAAGTAGTACTAATTATTTTGTTACAAGGCAGCATGATCTGGACAGTGGTCCACTGCAATCTCATGTGCGGATGTGCGCTCAGAGCCTTAGGTTAGTAAATAGTGAGGTACTGAACTAAGGATCATTCTTATGGTCAACTGTAACGTTAATTACAAAAACATCGATCTGGCTGAAGCGGACTAATCTTATGAGAGGTGTTCCGATCCAAACAAACAAAGAACGGCAATCCGAAAACTTTTGTAATGTACCATATAGGCTGTAATATGAAAAGTTGCGATAAACACAGCAGATTGCTAAGAACAAGAGAAGTCACAACTGTGTTGCAAAACCCGCAATGTAGCCTTTCTCCTGTAGAATCTTCTCAGTGACAAAGGGAAATAGTAACGTCTCAGCTTCAGCTTTCTTTTCTGTCCATCAGAGAATCATGCACCAAACCGCGTATTAGTTAACATGACCAAATGCGATGCAATCTTGTCACTATAGACTGAGAGTAGGCACAAGCATCAAAGACCACGATGCTGGAACCACAGCTTTCCTTTAGACACAGAGGCTCACCACAGATGCTTACAATAAGTTTGCAAAGCACATTTACATTCATAGCAACAAAATTCTAGAAACGAGCAATCAATGGAATCGATATTTAGTTGATATTTAGCAGGTCTTGAGAGTTGAGATTTGATCACTTAGTATTAATCCCCATATCTCCACTGCCCATAGCCAAAAAGATATAACCACCAGAAAATGCCATACCACTCAGATATTTCACTGCCTTCTAGCTAGAATTAACAACAACAACAACAAAGCCTTTAAGTCCCAAATAAGTTGAGGTAAGCTAGAGTTGAAACCCAGCAGAAGCAATCAAAGTTCAGACACGTGAATATCTGTTTTCCAAGCACTCCTATCTAAGGTTAAGTCTTTAAATATATTCCATCCTTTTAAGTCTCATTTTATTGCCTCTACCCAAGTCAACTTCGGTCTTCCTTTATCTCTCTTCACGTTACTATCATGGCTTAGGATTCCACTACGTACTGGTATCTCTGAAGGTCTGTGTTGAACATGTCCAAACCATCTCAACCGGTGTTGGACAAGTTTTTCTTCAATTGATGCTACCTCTAATTTATCACGTATATCATCGTTCCGAACTCGATCCCTTCTTGTATGACCGCAAATTCAATGCAACATACGCATTTCCGCGACACTTATCTATTAAACATGTTGTCTTTTCGTAAGACAATATTCTACACCATACAACATAGCAGGTCTAATCGCCGTCCTATAAAACTTGCCTTTTAACTTCTGTGGTGCCCTTTTATCACATACGACACCAGATGCTTGACGCCACTTCATCCATCCTATTTTGATTCTATGGCTAACATCTTCATCAATATCCCCGTCTCTATGTAGCATTGATCCTAAATATCAAAAGGTATCCTTCCTAGGCACTACTTGATCTTCCAAACTAATATCTTCCTCCTTCCAAATAGTAGTGCCGAAGTCACATCTTATATACTCAGTTTTAGTTCTACTGAGTCTAAAACCTTTAAACTCCAAAGTCTCCCGCCATAACTTCAATTTCTGATTCACTCATGTCCGACTTTCATCAACTAGCACTACATCGTCCGCGAAAAACATACACCAAAGGATGTCCCCTTATATGTCTCTTGTGACCTCATCCATCACTAAAACAAACAGATAAGAGCTCAAAACTGACCCTTAATGTAGTCCTATCCTAATCAAAAAGTCATCCGTGCCTCCATCACTTGTTCAAACACTAGTCACAACATTATTGTACTGAGTAAATTCACTTCTAGAAGAGGAGACCTGCCCATTATAACCGTAAAAAACCCAAAATCACCACATTATCAAACCAGAGTAAATTCCTCGTACTGAGTACTAACAACGCTGAAGAGGGTTTGGGCTTTCGACAGTAACAAATTGGAAGCATGGTATATCTTCAAGAACCACGAGAAACGTTGAGATTAAATGAAAATGCAATAAATTACACATCCACTTAAAACCTGGCCGTCCTCCACTCCAGACTTATGCTGATCTGGCTTCTTGGAACATTATTTGTTGCTGCTCTACTACTAAAAGCAGGAGTGGCCATTGTCATATGTCTATAGTCTCGCTGCAGCTTCCTCTTTCTCCCACTGCACAGCTGCTCAACTCCAGCAGCCATGGCCGAGACGAACGGCCTGTGGGGATGGTGGATGACGTCCAGGAACACACCGGCAGGGTGCGAGAAAGGCCTCGAGGACATCAAGCTCGCGTGCTTCACAGACGCGGAGCACAACGGCAAGACCGTAAGACATGTCCCTCTGCATAAACCACCACCTTCACACCTTCAAGTTGAGATAGTTGGAGCCACCACTGATGACGCATCACATGTATAATATATGTGCAGAACGTGATACTAGAGTTTGAGATGTCGGTGAAGGTGAGGCATCAGGTGGTGGCCAGGACCATGCACCACTTTACTGTCGAGGTGAAGGAGGCGAGCAGCGGCAAGAAGCTGTACAAAGCCAAGGTATGGGCGGTGTGGAAAAACTTCAAGCAGCTGCTGAGCTTCGAGCCCATCAGGGATGCCGCAGTCACCTGACCTGAGGTACAAGTTCTTTCACAGGTGTAGCACAAAAAATAGGAGGGAATAACACTGAGATAGCTTTGCAAAACCTGTACTAGCAAGTGGTGATCACTGCTGGAAGTTTTCCCTTATGCTTGGATAACCATGTTTCAGGAAATAAAGGTGGCATCTCCCAGTGCGATGACGTGTTTTCCCCTGATGGCTCACAGGCTTTTCGCTGGAGGCTGCTGGAGCATAACAATGAAAGAATTTAGCTGTTGGACATGAAATACATCTCACTGGAAAAGTATACTATGCTGAATAAACCAGCATCTTACCAGATCTATGATATATGAAAAAATATTGACTCCTGTCATGGAATGAGCTGTGCTAAGTAATCTGAAAGTCTTCTAGCTTTATTTCTTGCCACACATACATCCAGCAAGATCTTCCTCAACTATCCAATGAAGCATAGACATAATTAACATTAAACCGGAGAGCAACTGGAATGTACGACTGCTACTATATGCAAAAGCACTACCTGTTGAGCGAATCTAACTTTGGAACATTACAGTCAACTAGTCAAGCAACCTTAAACCTCTGGTACATTATAAGCTATACATCTGCAGCTTCAGTGGCTATGATACACATGATACGTGAGAATTTCTACAGAGTTAAGCCCAACCTACAATTGTCCTGCTATCCTACTTATCCACTCTGAAGCTATAAAGGCAGAGCTAGTTTTGATTGTCATAATCCTCATCCTCTCCAATCTATGGTTTTTTGACAAAGCAAACTGGACAGGGCCCATCTCCATATTGTTCATGTCAGGCAGTTCCCAAGCACCCAGAAAGTGGAACAGATGGTTCTGTAGTGGCTGCAATGGAACTAGTTGCTGGAGCAGTTAGTCCTAAATTGGCTGCAGCTAAATTAGTTGCTAGAGCTGATGACTGGGCTTGGGGTCGCACTGTAATCTCATCATCTTCATCAGTTGGATCTAAATTCAAGTCAATGTTCCTTAGGGAAGCCCTGGCACTGCTCATTGGTTTGCTTCAGCTGCACCTGAGACCTCATCGGGTATCTCCACTTTTAGGCTGGCTAGCTTGCTAGATTAGTTCTCCACGAATTGTTCATGAGTTGTGACAACCCCCGCCAAGTTCCATGTCCACCGCGCAGCCTCTCACACAACCCCTAGCACGGCCTCTGCCATTGCGTGTATGGTTTTCTGCTTCCTGCACACAAGAAACTTATTCAGCAAAAAAGAGCTCAAAATTCTAAGGCTCAATAGTGGGATTACTATATTTGATAATATCTAGTGAAATGTGGAAGATACATAGCAGAGGGAAATTAAGTTCTGATTATGACATACTTTAAATTATTATTAGTCGAAATAGACCACTCTGTCCATCCTTGGAACATTCAAACTGACCAATCTAGCCATTTAATTTTCCCTTTTGTTTTTGCTCCAATCTATCCTTGGTACGACATGGCATGCCTAGTCAGCGACTCAGCGCTGGTCATCCTTTGTTGAGTCATCATGGAAGATAAGTCCCTTTTGCCCTTGCTTTGCTCCATTACTAAGGCCTAATTTGGAAGCAAGGGGGAGGCAAAACCCAAGTCCCATGTGGAGAACTAAGTGGCTAAGTAAAATAGCATACCCATGGATAAACTACCCCGAGAAAAGTCCAAGATCCCAAGGGGATTAGAGTTTCCAAATTAGCCATAAAGGAATGTATGCTGCAATCTCTAACCCGTGATTAATCCACTCCCTTGACAGCTATAAAAGGCTGTCTATGGATAGATCATGTGATAAGTGAGAGTAGAGTTAACAATAATCCAACAAAGAAAGCAAGAGCATTGGAGGAGAAAGTAAAGTAAGATAGACATGAAACTCATCTATTGCAAACACAGAATAATTCGTACAAGTTCAATGTTGATGCCATTTAAACCCTAATTCCAAGGCAGACATGAAACTCATCTATCCTACCGTAAAGCATTATCCTACCGCAACGTCAAACCCAATGCAATTAAAATCCTTCAGGGAAGAAAATGCATGTTGGCAATGGTGGTTGGTGTGTTGCACTATGAGTAGCATCCGTCATAGATGAACATAATTGAAAGAGGTCCCTTGATTATAGCATCCACTCCATGTACAATAGACATGCATAGTGACAATAAGGCATAACACAGTCACAGACTCGGTCACGTAAAGCCGTAAAGGAATGGACACTAGTCCACTTTATGGCCTTGGCATCCATGATATGAAATAAGACGTGATTTGAAGCCGCGTGGCACAATATGTCCAATCAACAAGCCAAATCTCCATGATGCCGAAATACCCTTCCCGGGGTGCCCTTGTGAAAGTTCATTATGTTGTGCATGAATCAATTGCACTCTTGAGAGGGCTACCTAGGGTATAGTGGACATGATCTTACACAAAATATGGTCTCAAGGTCAATGAAGTTGACTAGGGTTGACCAAAGATAAAATCGTCAACAAACTGTAGTCTCTAGATCAACGGCTTGTTTCACTTTGTTGGTGAGCACCTTCTATCCCTCCCTCTAGAGCCTATCACAAGTCTACGAGACCATAGAGGACCATACTATCATGATTCTCAAGGTATCTCTTTAGGATCCTTGGGGATCAAGTCTTTGGGAGCTTCAAGGTGCGATTCCCTCGGAGTCAAGAAACGTTAAGATGATGTGTCCTCATGACCATGGAGTCAATTTGTGACACTCGTTTAGCCTTCAAAAGACGAGAGTACATCCAAATGTTATGTCATCATAAGCCATGGGTCCTCGAGGAAGCCAAGCTCAAGTCTACATAGCCTGGTGAGAGATTCCGAACCCATGATCAATATTTACCTATGTTTATATTGAATAAGAGAAGCAAGAAGGCAGGAGAAGGAATGCAACCATGGAACTTACCACCTCGTACTAAGCATCGAATGTTGTGGATGGCACACCAATGACCATATGTTCTTCCTTAACTATAAAAAGTCCATATGACATGAACTTTCACATGCATTGAGATCAAGGAAAGACTTGGATGGCTAGCATGGCTAAGTGGAGTAGACAACCTAAGATAGGCTTGAATTTTCATTGGAGTACCATTGTACACTGGAGGAGAACCAAAAACTAATTTGTTTGGTAGGAGACAAATGTGAGTGCATTGGCCACCTAGGTTCAAACATAGATTCTCAAACTTAGAGCACCATTTTATTTTCTTAAAAAAATCATTTTTCCTACACCATCATTGCACTATCTTTTTCGTTGTTGCTTCCAATCCCGTGCTCTTTGACCATCAACCATTTCAAGTTAATGTGTGAAGCATATGCGGTTCAAAAGGCAATGTGGGATCTAGGCATACAAAGTGAATAATGTCAAGGTATGGAGTTGCTAGTGGTGGAGCACATTCTTATGCCACCATGGTCACACAACTTATGAGCTAAAAATAAGAGATGTTTGATGCCACCAATCACACAACGATGAACAAAAGTAAAGAAATCTCCTTGAACAACTTTAGAGTTGAAAGAAGTATATCAAGTGGCAATGTGACCAATTTGAAAAAACTTCAAAGTGATGATCACGTGTTTGTGTCTTGAAACAATGCCTTCTTTGCGAACAGCAAGATGAAGACATCAAACACCTGCTTTGTGAGTCGTCACAAGTCCAACACTCGCTTGTGCCCTGCGTTTTCGCAAGAGTTTTGACACAAGCTCCTCACCCATCGCCCGCAAGAGCTAACACACAACCCTACTAGAAGTTTTAGTGGGCTGGAGGGATATCGCGGAAGGATGCATTGTGATGGAACTAGCAAACATGCCCAGCGTTGCCATGGGACATATAGAATAGCCTATCATGCGATCACTTTGCGGCTTGGAGATTTATTCAAAGATCGTGGAATCTGAGTGAGTGCTATGCATGGACGGGCGCTACTTGATCGCGTCATGTGTTCAAATCCGTCTTGGGATCGAAAACTCAACCCAATTCATGGACTCACACTACTCTAACTCGCTGTGCACGAGAGTGGCGGGCCATGGAAACACTCTGTACTTCAATACTATATGGGCAATCATGCTCGTGCGTTGCTACGGGACGTATAGCTTGTTGTGCAATCACTTGGACAACTTGTGGCTTGAAGATTTATCCAACGATCATGTCAACAACAACAACAACAAAGCCTTTAAGTCCCAAACAAGTTGGGGTAGGCTAGAGTTGAAACCCAGCAGAAGCAATCAAGGTTCAGACACGTGAATAGCTGTTTTCCAAGCACTCCTATCTAAGGCTAAGCCTTTGGGTATATTCCATCATTTCAAGTCTCATTTTATTGCCTCTACCCAAGTCAACTTCGGTCTTCCTCTGCCTCTCTTCATGTTACTATCCTAGCTTAGGATTCCACTACGCACCGGTGCCTCTGGAGTTCTCCGTTGTACATGTCCAAACCATCTCAACCGGTGTTGGACAAGCTTTTCTTCAATTAGTGCTACCCCTAATCTATCACGTATATCATCGTTCCGAACTCGATCCCTTCTTGTATGACTGCAAATCCAACGCAACATACGCATTTCCACGACACTTATTTGTTGAACATGTCTTTTCGTAGGCCAACATTTTGCACTATACAACATAGCAGGTCTAATCGTCGTCCTATAAAACTTGCCTTTTAGCTTCTATGGTACCCTTTTGTCACATAGGACACCAGATGTTTGGCGCCTCTTCATCCACCCTGCTTTTGATTCTATGGCTAACATCTTCATCAATATCCCTGTCTCTCTGTAGCATTGATCCTAAATATCGAAAGGTATCATTTCTAGGCACTACTTGACCTTCCAAACTAATATATTCCTCCTCCCGAGTAGTAGTGCCGAAGTCACATCTCATATACTCAGTTTTAGTTCTACTAAGTCTAAAACCTTTGGACTCCAAAGTCTCCCGCCATAACTCTAGTTTCTGATTCACTCCTGTCCGACTTTCATCAACTAGCACTACATCGTCCGCGAAAAGCATACACCAAGGGATGTCCCCTTGTATGTCCCTTGTGACCTCATCCATCACTAAGGCAAACAGATAAGGGCTCAAAGCTGACCCTTGATGTAGTCCTATCCTAATCGGGAAGTCATCCGTGTCTCCATCACTTGTTCGAACACTAGTCACAACATTGTTGTACATGTCCTTAATGAGCCCGACATACTTCGTTAGGACTTTATGTTTGTTCAAAGCCCACCACATAATATTCCTTGGTATTTTATCATAAGCCTTCTCCAAGTCAATAAAAACCATGTGTAGGTCCTTCTTCTTTTCCCTATACCGCTCCATAACTTGTCTTATTAAGAAAATGGCTTCCATGGTTGACCTTCCGGACATGAAACCAAATTGGTTCATAGAGACCCGCGTTATTGCTCTCAAGCAATGCTCGATAACTCTCTCCCGTAGCTTCATAGTACGACTCATCAACTTAATTCCCCGGTAATTAGTACCAACTTTGAATATCCCCTTTATTCTTGTAGATCGGTACCAATATACTTCTCCTCCACTCGTCAGGCATCTTGTTCGATCGAAAAATATGGTTAAACAGCTTGGTTAGCCATACTATAGCTATGTCCCCAAGGCATTTCTACATCTCGATTGGAATATCATCCGGTCCCATTGCCTTACCTCCTTTCATCCTTTTCAACGCCTCTCTGACCTCAGATTCTTGGATTCTCCGCACAAAGGGCATATTGGTGTCATCAAAAGAGTCATCCAACTGGAAGGTTGTGTCCGTATTCTCACTATTGAACAATTTGTCAAAATACTCTTGCCATCGATGTCGGATCTCATCCTCCTTCACCAAGAGATGCTCCCTTTCATCCTTAATACACTTAACTTGGTTGAAGTCCCTTGTCTTTCTCTCACGAACCCTAGCCATCCTATAAATATCCTTCTCTCCTTCCTTCGTACTCAAATGTTTGTAAAGATCCTCGTACGCTTTACCCTTTGCCACACTTACAACTCGCTTTGCAGTCTTTTTTGCCAACTTGTACTTCTCTATGTTGTCCACACTCATGTCATGGTACAAGCGTCTATAGCATTCTTTTTTCTTCTTAATAACCCTTTGGACTTCCTCGTTCCACCACCAAGTATCTTTAGCCTCGCCTCCACTTCCTTTGGTTACTCCACACACCTCTGAGGCCACCTTCCGAATGTTGGTTGCCATCTTCTCCCACATGTTGTTTATGTCCTCTTCTTCCTTCCAAGAGCTCTCTTTGATAACCCTTTCCCTGAATACCTCTGACGTCTCCCCTTTTAGTTTCCACCACTTTGTTCTTTCAATCTTAGCTTGTTTATCCCTACGGGCACGCACCTGAAAACGAAAGTCTGCCACCAAAAGCATATGTTGAGAAACAACACACTCCCCTGGTATCACCTTGCAACCCAAGCATGCACGTTTGTCCTTTCTTCTTGCGAGAACAAAGTCAATCTGGCTAGTGTGTTGTCCCGCATCTCGAAGGTCACTAGATGAGATTCTCTCTTTCTAAAGAAAGTGTTGGCTATCATCGGGTCAAAAGCTACCGCATGAAGTCCGAACTTCCTCCCTCCCCGATTCCTACTACCATACCCAAAACCTCCATGAAGCGCCTCGAAACACCTGCGCTTGTAGTACCTACATGCCCATTAAGATCTCCTATAAAAAGCTTCTCCTTTGCTAGGTGACTCTAATCAAAGCCATCTAAGTCTTCCTGAATTGTCTCTTAGCACTCTCGCCGAGACCTACTTGAGGGGCATACGCACTAATTACGTTCAAGACCATATCACCAATGACAAGCTTGACTAAGATAATCCTATCTCCTTGCCTTCTCACTCCCACCACACTATTCTTGAGGCTCTTATCAATCAAAACTCCTACTCCATTTCTATTCGCATGATCGTCCTCTGTACCAAAGCTTGAAACTCAGATTGTCCACC